CAATGGCTCCATGTCTAGTTGGCAGCCGGTATCAAGTGGAGTGCCCCAAGGGTCGGTCCTGGGGCCGGTTTTGTTCAATATCTTCATAAATGATCTGGAGGATGGTGTGGATTGCACTCTCAGCAAATTTGCGGATGATACTAAACTGGGAGGAGTGGTAGATACGCTGGAGGGGAGGGATAGGATACAGAAGGACCTAGACAAATTGGAGGATTGGGCCAAAAGAAATCTGATGAGGTTCAATAAGGATAAGTGCAGGGTCCTGCACTTAGGACGGAAGAACCCAATGCATAGCTACAGACTAGGGACCGAATGACTAGGCAGCAGTTCTGCGGAAAAGGACCAAGGGGTGACAGTGGACGAGAAGCTGGATATGAGTCAGCAGTGTGCCCTTGTTGCCAAGAAGGCCAATGGCATTTTGGGATGTATAAGTAGGGGCATAGCGAGCAGATCGAGGGACGTGATCGTTCCCCTCTATTCGACATTGGTGAGGCCTCATCTGGAGTACTGTGTCCAGTTTTGGGCCCCACACTTCAAGAAGGATGTGGATAAATTGGAGAGAGTCCAGCGAAGGGCAACAAAAATGATTAGGGGTCTGGAACACATGAGTTATGAGGAGAGGCTGAGGGAGCTGGGATTGTTTAGCCTGCAGAAGAGAAGAATGAGGGGGGATTTGATAGCTGCTTTCAACTACCTGAAAGGGGGTTCCAAAGAGGATGGCTCTAGACTGTTCTCAATGGTAGCAGATGACAGAACGAGGAGTAATGGTCTCAAGCTGCAGTGGGGGAGGTTTAGATTGGATATTAGGAAAAACTTTTTCACTAAGTGGGTGGTGAAACACTGGAATGCGTTACCTAGGGAGGTGGTAGAATCTCCTTCCTTAGAGGTTTTTAAGGTCAGGCTTGACAAAGCCCTGGCTGGGATGATTTAACTGGGAATTGGTCCTGCTTCGAGCAGGGGGTTGGACTAGATGACCTTCTGGGGTCCCTTCCAACCCTGATATTCTATGATTCTATGATTCCTCCCCACCCCTCCCGGGCTACCTTGGCAGTTATCCCCCTATTTGTGTGACCAATTAATAAAGAATGCAGGAATTTGAAACAACAATGACTTTATTGCCTCTGCAAGCGGTGATCAAAGGGGGAGGGGAGAGCGGTTGGCTTACAGGGAAGTAGAGTGAACCAAGGGGGCGGGTTTTCATCAAGGAGAAACAAACAGAACTGTCACACCGTAGCCTGGTCAGCCATGAAACTGGTTTTCAAAGGTTCTCTGATGTGCAGCACGCCCTGCTGTGCTCTTCTAATCGCCCTGGTGTCTGGCTGCAGGTAATCAGTGGCCAGCTGATTTGCCTCAACTTCCCACCCCACCATAAACGTCTCCCCCTTACTCTCACAGATATTATGGAGCGCACAGCAAGCAGTAATAACAATGGGAATATTGGTTTCACTGAGGTCTAAGTGAGTCAGTAAACTGCGCCAGCACGTGTTTAAACGTCCAAATGCACATTCTACCACCTCTCTACACTTGCTCAGCCTGTAGTTGAACAGCTCCTGACTACTGTCCAGGCTGCCTGTGTACGGCTTCATGCGCTATGGCATTAAGGGGTAGGCTGGGTCCCCAAGGATAACTATAGGCATTTCAACATCCCCAATGGTTATTTTCTGGTCTGGAAAGTAAGTCCCTTGCTGCAGCCATTCTCACAGACCAGAGTTCCTGAAGATGCCAGCGTCATGTACCTTTCCCGGCCATCCCACGTTGATGGTGAAACGTCCCTTGTGATCCACCAGTGCTTGCAGCACCATTGAAAAGTACCCCTTTCGGTTTATGTTCTGGCTGCCTTGGTGCTCCTGTCCCAAGATAGGAATATGGGTTCTGTCTATCACCCCACCACAGTTAGGGAATCCCATTGCAGCAAAGCCATCCATTGTGACCTGCACATTTCCCAGAGTCACTACCCTTGATAGCAGCATCTCAGTGATTGCGTTGGCTACTTGGCTCACAGCAGCCCCCACAGTAGATTTGCCCACTCCAAATTGATTCCCGACTGACCGGTAGCTGTCTGGCGTTGCAAGCTTCCAGAGGGCTATCCCACTCGCTTGTGAACTGTGAGGGCTGCTCTCATCTTGGTATTCTTGCACTTCAGGGCAGGGGAAAGCAAGTCAAAAGGTTTCATAAAAGTGCCCTTATGTATGTGAAAGTTTCTCAGCCACTGGGAATCATCCCAGACCAGCAACACTATGTGGTCCCACCAGTCTGTGCTTGTTTGCCAGGCCCATAATCGGTGTTCCATGGCATGAGCCTGCCCATTGCCACCAGGATGGCCAAATTGCCGGGGCCTGTGCTTTGAGAGAAGTCTGTGTCCATGTCCTCATCGCTCTCCTCACCACACTGCCATCGCCTCCTCGCCTGCTTTTGCAGGTTCTGGTTCTGCATATGCTGCATGATAATGCGCGAGGTGTTTACAATGCTCATAACTGCCGCAGTGATCTGAGTGGGCTCTATACTTGCCGTGGTATGGCGTCTGCAGGAAAGAAGAGTTGCAGGGGAAACGGTGGTTGGATGACCAGTTTTGCAGACCTACTGCACCGTCTGCTGCCAGGACACAACAGCTGAGCGGGCTGCACGCTTGCCATGAGCGAGACAAGAGCAGCCAAGCAGAGTTGCAGCAGAAGTGGCAGATGACAATAGTAATACAGAAGACCTGCGAGACCACCAGGAGAGTAGGAAAGCAGAGTGGCAGCAGAAGCGGTGGATGACGACAGTCATATAGAGGACCTGCAAGGTGGATTCATAGCACTCGATGACGACTATTTGCATCCCTAAAGCAGTATGGCACCCGCACAGAAAAAAGGCGCAAAACGATTGTCTGCTGTTGCTTTCATGGAGGGAGGGGTGACTGACGACATGTACCCAAAACCACCCGCGACAATGTTTTTGCCCCATCAGGCATTGGGAGCTCAACCCAGAATTCCAATGGGCAGCGGAGACTGCGGGAACTGTGGGATAGCTACCCACAGTGCAATGCTCCGAAAGTCAACGCGAGCCACGGTACTGTGGACGCACTCCGCTGACTTAATGCGCTTAGTGGAGACACACACAATTGACTGTATAAAATCGCTTTCTAAAAATCGACTTTTATAAATTTGACCTAATTTCATAGTGTAGACATACCCTAAGGGGGTAACTGGCTTAGTATGTTGAGAGAGAGAACAGGGCTTGACTCTATTCAGATGAAATAGTCCATATTGAAATATAGCAGGGGTTCTCAAACTGGGGGTTGGGACCTCTCAGGGGGTCACGAGGTTATTACAAGGGGGGTCGTGAGCTGTCAGCCTCCACCCCAAACCCTGCTTTGCCTCCAGCATTTATAATGGTGTTAAATATATAAAAAGTGTTTTTAATTTGTAAGGTCACATTCAGAGGCTTGCTATGTGAAAGAAGTCACCAGTACAAAAGTTTGAGAACCACTGAAATATAGGCGACAGTCCTGGGGCTGTATTCCCCTGCCACAGCATGCATGGAAACCCACTGGAATCAAGTATCCTGCAGTGTGAGAATCAGGCATCTGGTGCCTTTAAAGTCTCCCCCTATCCTGCAGGGTGAATTTCACTGAATAATGCTGAGATCCTGGAAAGAGACATCCCCGTGCTGCACTATAAGAGGAATCTTAAAGGGCTGGAACTGTTCTAGGCTTGTTTCAGCATTGAAAATTTCAGACAAACTAGGAAGACAAAATAGCATGACGCATACTGTGTATGAGTCAGTTGGTACTTATGCCTGTCAGGCCCATTGCAGAGGTCACAAGGCGAGAGGGCTGCATGCCCCAGGATCAGCAGACGATTAAGAAGAAAATTGAACAATCAAAGTCTCATGTTGAAAACCACAAGGCAGCTGCGCTGGTTTCCTGCACATCACATGACTGACTTGGTCTAGCAACAGGGACAGCTAAGTGGGAAAAAGAAAAAGAAAACCCATTGCTGATCATTTTCCAGGCCTCCAGGATATGCACTTAGCAATTGTCCATCTCATTAGGTTTGCCGCCGTTCATTCCCCCAGTTCTAGCACTTGGTGGCTTAACCCCACTTGGAGCTATTTTATTTAATAAACCCTGACATGTTTAATACACGTTCTTGATTTCTTGTGCGTTTGGCTCTTTCTCTTTACTCTCTGAGTCCATCTTGTTTAGTGTCTTTGGCCCCTCTACTTCCCTCCCTTGCATTGCACAGAGGAAACAGGTGGAAGTAAATGAAGCATAACAGGCTCACAGCAAGGCAGGAAATGCTGCTGCATGGTGGCATCCGATGGCACTGTGTAGAATGCTCAGGCAACATGGAGGCCCTTGCACACCAGGGACTGAACTGGGGACCTCAAGAGCTAAAAGCACCAGTGGCTACAGCTTGCTGCTGCTGAACAGACTCATGTTTGCCGTGGATTGGCGCCGTGATGGACATGGTGAAATGGGGGATGGGGCCTACCCCTTGGGGAGGAGTCAGGGATCAGTCCCTGGATGCAGAGTGTTCCTCCCCCAAATCCAAGCACATGGTGCAGAAAGCAAGGGTGGAGGTTACTGACCAGCAGTAAGTACCCCCTACATGCTCTGCACCCCTCACTGGTGGCATGGGCACTTCAGATATCAACAGGGGACTAATGTCAGCACAGCAAAGAGACAAGCCATGCTGCCAAAACTGAGGGGCCTGAGAGCCCTATGAAGGGCCATGTCCTCAACCAACGTGTGGTCAGCAGGCCCCTTCCTTTGCACTGTTCCTAATGCAAGTGAGTGACATCATCAAGGATACCACAGCTGTTGCTATGCAGCTGTGGCTTCTCCCATTCTGCAGGTTCTGAGGGAATTACAGGGGCCGTGGAATTCCTGTAGAACTGAGGATGCAAGCAGATGCGGTGTGCCACCCAAGAGCAGGCTGCCTTCCAGGTGGTGTCTATATCCCTCTAGTCTGTACAGCATGTTGAGATCCATCCAGCACAAGGGACAGCACAGAAAATGGAGGTTATTATTACTGTTTATTTTAGAAGGGCAATTAGTATTCACTTTCTCATGTTCCCAGCACAACCAGACACCTTTTTATGCTCTACTGCCTTCTCTAGCTCTCAGCGTCTCCTGGACAGCAGTCTGGGGCCGGGTTGTGAAAGTTGTATATAAAATAAAGTTTATTATCACTTTAATGAAACTAACAAATATATCAAAAGCAGAATTGCGAGTACACACTTTTTAGTGCAAAAGTACAAGTAAGAGAGAAGTTTAGTGAGTTTTCTAGGGAGCTTTTACCATCTCAGTGCCCAGTGCAGATCTGTAATGCTTAGTACATTATAGGCATGCCATTGCATTCTACAGAATATCTATGTTGCCATTAGCTTCTGTACTATTTGGGGAGAGGGGACAGATTCCTGGGTACAGATTTTGGCAGGAGGCGCCAGCATCACAAATCTAATGGAGGAGGGGAAAGTGTGGCCATGAGCACTGAGCCAGCCCCTCCCAGGAAACCTCTGTCATTTGCCTCTTGGACTATGCCGGAGCTAGTAGCAACTCCCAAGGTCACAGTGGTAGAAAAGGGCCTCAAGGGTCATACTTCTTGAGCCAGCATCAGTCACTCCATGCTTATGTAGGCCAGATCCTCAGCTGGAGTCACCCTTCAGTGGAACTGTGCTAGGCTCACCCAGTGGTAGAAATGGACCTGGGTGCTCTGTGCACACGCACACACAGTTTGACCTTGATACGCTGCACATCAATTACAAAAACCCTTTTGTTTTAGAAAGTAAATCAATTTTTGTCCACCCTGGTTGGCTGGGCAGGTGGGTACAGCTTGTGTGGGATCAGGGGAAAGAAAGTTCACAGTCTCTTGCCCAATCATGGAAAACTCCTGCACTGCCTGTACCTGAAAGGGGAACCTCTCCTGGTCAAGCTGTGTTGCTGCGGGGGGTCAGGGAGATCTGGAGATGGAGCACCTAAGTCTTAGCAGTCCACATTCCAGGAGTAAGACGGGGCAGTTCTCTTGCAAGAGTTTCCAAGCTGATCACTGACACTTACCAGGTGAACTTTGTATAAGAAATGGCTCTTTGCTGCTGGTGCTCTGTATTGAGATTGTGATATGTGTGAGCCTGATCCACTTCGAACCTACACCTACATGCCTCAGGAGGAGCTCCGCTGAAGTCATTGGAGACAGAGCAATGGAAACCTGGTATCGGAGGAGGGGAAGGCACTGTAGTTCAGTGTCTGTTGTTGGTATTTTTGTGACTTGCAGAGCCTCCCATTCTAGAGCCTTCACACAGCTCCTCCAGGGCACCTCATTCCTGACCTAGAGCAGCCCCCGCTGGTGCAGCCCTGTGCTATCTCGCGATGTCTTCAAATGCCTTTCCAGAAAATATACTTTAGCCAAACACAAGTGATTGGGTTCAAAGCAGGGGTAAGTGGGTGAAATGTAATGCCCTGTGTTATACAGGGTAGGTAAGTCTAGATGATCTGATGGTGTCTTCTGGCCTAAACTCTATGCATCTGTAAAAACCCATTTTTCTGGGATCTAAGACATCATTTGTACCCCACCCTCCAGATTCAAAAGGGTGATACTTAAACCGCACTATGCCACATGGTCACCAGCTCTGCGCAGTTTTGCACAATAAACATTGGTGATCCCACAAAATGGTTGGGAATCCTAGCCTCTAAGGAATGACAAAGCAGCTGCCTTGGCAGCTGAGTGGTGCCATTTCTATATATGCAATGATTATAGCTGTACAATCAGGGTGCAGTCAATCTACACATGAGTAGGGTAGCTGCAGCAGCTGGAAGCATGGGGTTATTTTCTGAAAGGCAGTTACTAATTACATCATAATGATTCCTGCAGTTCCTAGATCCTGAATGTTTGCAGGTGACAGGACTGGGCTGTTCTACTGGCGTGGCCATTCAGAAGAAGGCAGGTTTCATGGCAGTGTTTCCAATGGAAAGAGGGGTTTCAAAAACCAGCTGCCCCCTAGGTCATCTTCTTGGCAACGCTGGCGTAGGTGCGTTCTATCTCCTCGTCGGCTGGGCATGTGTGGCTGAACTCATCACAGGAGTAGGCATTGTGGAGGTAGCGCCAGATGCCTGTCATTTCCGCTGGGATCTCGAAGTCACGGTATTTCTTGGCAGCAATCTAGACGGGTGAAGGGTGAGAAAATGCAGGTGATTATTAGACTTCTGGGTATCAGGATAAGATCTGGCCCCATGGACCTGGAAGCCCACAGGCTTTGTTGTTAAAGCACTGGTCTGGCATGCAGAAACTCAGGATTCACTTCCCAGCTCCATCATTGGTTCCCTGGGCAACTTTGGGCAACTCACCTAATCTCTCTGTGCCTCAGTTCACAGCTGTAAAACGGGGACAATAATCCCACCTTGGGCCATGCCCAGCACAATGGGGCCCCAGTCTCAGCTGGGGCCTATAGGTGCTATAGTAGAACCTAAGAGTTATGAACTGATCAGTCAACCACACACCTCATTTGGAACTGGAAGTATGCAATCAGGCATCAGCAGACCAAAAAAAAAAAAAAAAAAGGCATTACAATGATATGTTAAATGTAAACTACTAAAAAAATAAAGGGAAAGTTTAAAAAAAAATTTTGACCAGGTAGAGAAACTGTTTCTGTGCTTGTTTCATTTAAATTAAGATGGTTAAAAACAGCATTTTTCTCCTGCAGAGTAAAGTTTCAAAGCTGTGTTACATCACTGTTCAGTTGTAAACTTTGAAAGAACCAGAACATTTTGTTCAGAGTTACGAACAACCATTCTCAAGGCATTCGTAACTCTGAGGTTCCACTGTAGCATGTTGGACCAAACAGGACTCCATGAGCAACTAATCTTGATTTGGAACTCCCAGGGTGCCCCCTAAAGGTTGGCCAAGGCAATCCATGTAAGAGCGGGAGTGAAAATCATGAAGTGGATGAAACAGTGAAGTCCACTGAGTTCCCACAAATCCCTCCTGTCCCTTCTGGATCAATACCCTCATTCAGAGGAAGAAGACAGCCAGATTTGAAGCTCAAAATCTCAGCTTTCTTGGCTCATCCATCCAGCATGTCAGGGATGGCTATTACACACTGTGCTCTGTTCCTGCAGCAATCCTCTCCCTAATTTCAAACTTATTGTTCATCATGGATGAGATCGATGGGTTCAAGGCTGTTAACTCCAGAAGCAAGGGAGGGTTGCAGGCAGGAGGGGAGCTGTCCACTCAGTCTGGCTTTGAACCAGAGACACAAAGGTGTCCCAGCGCTTCCAAAAGTACTGGCTGTGAAAGCCATACTCCTGAAAATAACATCAGAGCTTCACACTGGACAGAAGGGGTGAAACCTTTACTTGGGACATTGCCTTTGAGAGCTAGTCAGGAGCTGCCCAGACTTTGGTTGACAGTACTGTGTTTGGGTCTGGCTAGTACTGTTGGTCCCTCACGAAGAGCAGGGGCTGGAGTGGGGTTGTCCCTACAGGTTTGTCTCCAGTGCTTTTCCTGTTTAGCTTTAGATCCCTCGAGTGATAGAGCTTCCTTCACTCTCCTTGGGATGAAATTCACCCATATTTAATGCTCAGACCTGGCTCAGCTGTTCTAGCCTCCCTTGCCAGTCCACTGCTCAGCTAAATGCCCTACTGAAGGGACAGGCGAGACAGAGAGCAGGGGATGGCGCCAAAGGGGATGAGTACAGACAGGCTTGAGTCAGAATATTCTGAGCTGGAATTGGACAGTGCCTCAGCTCCCCACAGCTTCACAAGGTCAGATATGGTGAGCTGGCTCTAGTTGGGAGTGTAAAGGAACCTGTACTGCTTTGGGAGGTGATTCTCCCAAACCCCTAAGGCCCAGATCCTCAAAGGTATTCATGTGCCTAACTGGCATTGATCTCAATGAGGAGGTAGGCCTAAGTGATTTAGGAGCACAAGTCCTGCTAACTGTCACAGGACCTTGCACTCCCTGGGCATGAAGGCACTTTTGAAAATCCCACACTTCGTGTGCTGGCCTGCCCTTTGCCCCAGAGGTTGTGGCCTCTGTAGCTAGCAGGTGGATTTACTTTGATGATGTGCAGCTTGGGCAGCAGATTGCAGTCAGCTAATGTCAGCCTGTTCCCATCCAGGAACTTCCTGTTGGAGACCAGGACTTCCTCGGTACTGTCCTGGTCGATTTCTTCAGGGAGTGGGTTGTTCAGGTAGTTATCCAGGCGTTTGAACTCCCTCAGCAAAGCCTTCTCAAAATCTGCACCCAAGGAGAAACCGCAGTGTTAGTGTGAAAGACCTTGAGCAGATTCTGCTCTCACACCCACCAGTTTTACTGCAACTCCACTGATTTCAGTAGAGTTACTCTTGATCTACACCAGCCCAACTGAGATCACAGTCAGGGCTCCTGGCATGAGATAATGAACCTGCCCCAATGTGTAGGTATAGACACAATCCACGCCCCTGCCCCCACCAAAAAAATCTCCACCCTCATAGACAAGTCCCTGATACTTGTACCATTGAGCTGGGCCATACTTGAAGAGGGGTTTCCACCTGGGACCACTGTTGGGATTTTGGTGGAGAAACCCCAGAATATATCCTTTCGGCACCTTCCAAAGAGCTATAGGATCTGAACATGCCCCTAATACGTATTGCCACCTTCTCTGAGAGGGACTGGTTAGAGGGGGTTGGCCAAACCAGTGGTGGACGGCCTCCCCAAGCCCAGATCCACCAAACGCAGTGCGATGTCCCGCTGCCCCCAGTAGGGTGTGCCAGAACTGCTCAGAGTGTGCACAGAACAGGGCTCTGTGCAGGCAGAGCTATGAGAGCTGCTCCTTTAGCAGCCACCTATCCTGACGCTGTGCGGCTTCCAGGCCTTTACAGCACAAGCTATGGATCATGATCCTCAGATGGTGCTGGGTGAAAGGCAGGGTTGCTTCTGTCCTTCCACTTTATTGCTTTAATTGCCAGGGGCATTACTTGGGTGGGTGGAGTGTGGGAGACAGCGGGGACTCCAGCCCAGCCATAGGATGCCCTCTCAAAGAGCAGGAATCCTGCACACAGGAGTTGTCACCAATACTCAGCACCTTTAGATCCCTGCCGCTGCTGCTGAGAGGCATTCCTCCCACCTCTCCTGGAAGTTCTGCAGCTCCCATTCTGTGCACCAACATCCCCAGCTTCAGGGACTGTGGACAGCTGAGACACCCTCTGGATCCCCCTGGCTGAGCGAGCTATTTTTCTAATAGGTTTTGCTTCAGGATCCAGGGAAGTAAATTTCCAGGGGAAATGATGGACTCAGAATAATAAATAAAAATACCCCAGGGTTCCTTACTCTCATTTGCTTCCTTGTGGGGATTCTTGATGTATGCAGAGAACTTGGCAAAGATGTTGCTGCCCACATCAAAGGACTCCTTGTATTTGGGGCTCAGGTGTGGGTACCTTAAACAGATAAATGCACAGAGTCATATATGGAGAATTCACTCTGCCATTAGAAGGATACTCAGCTGCATTCTCTTCTAGTGACTATAAAACCCACGAGGACTGAGATGGGTTCAAAAGCATAAAGCCCTGCAATGATCAACCTCATCTAGCTTCCTGCCCAAGGGATAGAGGGAAGCTCTGAGCTCTGCTGGCACTTCCAGGATGCTGGCTTCAGATAGGTGTGCACAGATTGGCACGGAGGGGGAGATGGAAACTCACACAGCTCCCATGGGGAAATGCCTTTTGTTCTCGAGGTATCCCAGTACACCCTGCATGCCAATATCAGCTCAGCTGTTGTGTTAGGCCCAGCCCTGCACTGGCCCCAAGATGGGCTTTGCCAGACTCAAGGTCTGTCAACACTGCAGTCAGAGCGGGGAATGCAGCCCGTGTAGACAGACCCGAGCCGGTTCTGACCTAGCTAGCTCCGGCAGCAATAGCAGCAAAGCTGTAGCAGCGCAGGCTAGCGGCTCCAGTACCTATCCAGTGGCCTGGGGTGAGGCATGAGAGAAGAAGGTTGAAGGGTGTCCCAACATAACACTGTTGCAGGTATCAAAACCTCTCCTGGCAAGGGGTGCTGTCCTGTAACTAGACCTGACCATCTGAGCAGGTAATATGCTTTCTCCCATGAGTGTGTTTGTCACAGTGTGGCTGTCCCCTTTAAGGAGAGCAACCCCAGCTCAGTCCACCTGTAGGTTATTAATGCCATGCCCAGGCGGCTGGTTGGCAGCTAACGAGTGCCTGGACCTAGGGAACGGTAGTTCAGCTGGCGGCGGGTGCACCTAGAGGAGGTTCCACAGGAGATCAGCACTACTGCTGGCTGAGCTTTCCCAGGGCAGGAGGGGGGCTAGCGGACTCTGAAAATGCAAGGGAAGTAAGCCTGCCTGGATTATTACTCAGGCCATGGAGGAGGCTGTGGGACTCCTGAGTTTAGGGGAAGAGGCTTGAATTAGCTCCCGGAAGAAGGGGAAGACTTGAGGGGCTAAAGAGCTTTGAACTCTGTACAGGAGTTAATCTATAAGCCATTGGTCTAAGTGCTCTCGTCTGGGAGAGGAGAGGGCAGGACTGCACCATGCCATTGCACTGAGTTGAGACTCACACCTGCCTCATCTCTGTGCTGTGCCTTCTGGGCTGAAAGCTGTGAGGTGAGTGAGGATGGAGAGCAAAGCCTCAGTGTTTCATGTGCTCAGCAGTCGCCCAGTGACACGCTTGAGCCTTGAGCGTTGGTGTGTCCCATGGTCGCTAAGGGTGCACTCCTCCAGAGGCATTTCAGCCCCTAACTCCCACAGGAATCAGGCCTCTCAGGCCAGGGCTTTCAGAGGGGCTCAGTCCCCGCCACTGTGGACAGATTTGCAAAAGATCCCAGCACCCAACATGCGCCCAATGTGCTGAGCTCGTTTGCAGATCTGGCCCTAGGACTTAGAGGGTACCTTGGATTCCTCTAGCATGAGCTCCTGGAGTGCCCGCATGCCAGCTTGCTTGGGACGTGGGTGCAATCTGGAAAGGGTCATGCAGTGATGACCTCTAGCTAGGTATGTCCCAAAGTCTGACTAGGCACAAAGGGGAGTTTTCAGGGCAATATGGAGCTGAAGGAGGAACCCTGGGCTAGGATTCTGCTCCCTCCTATCCAAAGAGTGTTGCTTTGGGTTCCATCCAGACAGCCATGCAGCCAGCAACAGCTGGTAACTCATCAGGGGCGTAAGGGGGGGAGACTCGGGAGAGCCACGCAGCTTTCTACAGCTCAGGATCTGGCCTAAAGCCCCAGCTGTGAACTGTTCCGGCCCTTTAAGGTGTCTCCTGTTTACCACTGCAGCGAACGGTCGGGGAGAGAGCCAAGAGTGAGCGCATCATAACCGCTCGGCCAGGAGCTGGCTGCATTCCTAACCCCTGGGCTGGAGTGTTCGCTTTGGCTCAGCTACATGCACCTGCCCCTTTCAAAAACAAGCAGAAAAAAGGTTTTTGAATCCCTTCCCCTCCCCTGCTTCAAAAATAACGGCATCTGCTTCTTGGGACTCTAAACCGATCCACCTGCACGTTCTCACCACATCCCCCACCCCTGTGGCTTGCCTGTCAAGCCCCTTTCCCTCTTTGCCTGCATCCAGAGATCACACAGTGAATTTCCTTCCATTGTGTTATTTCACAGGCCAAACTGTTTCCTTGCTGCTTAGCTATTCATAGAGGAAGGGGGTGGGGGGTCACAACCTTAAACCAACGGTCTCACACTAGGCAAAAGCCTATCTCTGCTTCTTCCCAGGGACACACAGCAGTACCTTGGCCTGAGCAATACCTTCATGGAGAGAGCAATACATTGCTCAGAGCAAGGGACTAGAACCAGGGCTCCAAAATTCTGGCTGCCACTGGCTCCCAGTCCCTCTCTGTGCCTCTGTCTGTGCCCCCGCCACACAAGATAACAAGATGAGTACCATTGCTGAACCGATCAATGATTGCAAAGTGCAAGGAGTGAGAGGGGAGGCGGGGGAAGCCCAGAATTGGGTAAGTGCAATGGCCACTACTGCACCCATGCCATTCGAGCTTTGTCATAGCCACGGATCTAGGCCCAGTGTTCTGATCTGGTGGCAGTTCATATCTCCTGGCTGGAAGGTGGCAAAGAAGTACATAATACTATGATATTAAATACTTAGGAGGTGCCAGCATCTGCTCCAGGAACTCCTCGATCTTAATGAAGTCTGTTTTCAGCTCCTTGTTGAACAATAAGAATGGAGGGTTGGTCCCTGGAGCCAGAGATTTCAGTTCTTCAGGTTTCCTGAAATGAATTTTTTTTTAAAAAAAAAAAGAGGGATTCACTGCTGAGGTGAAGGCCTCACTGCAAGTGCAGTGTCACAATCTCATCTCACCACCATGCACAACCACCAAGAAGAACACAGAATGGTAGGACAGGAAGGGACCCTGAGAGGTCATCTAATTCAGCTCCCTGCACTGAGGCAGGACCAGTAAACCTAGAACATCCCTGAGTGGTGTTTGTCCAACCTGCTCTTAAACACCACATGGTGAAGGCATCAAATAGTGAGAGACACAGATTAGTACATGGAGGAGACACAGTGGTGAAAAGGAATCATGGGCCCCGTGTTTTGGAGCCAGAGCCATGCTGATCAGCAGAGGGAGCGCCCTAGATAAAGGGCCAAATTATACCCTGAGTTCACAGCTCCCATTGACTTTGCTGGCCATTGGGATATCCATCTTTGGCAGCCCATGGGATATGTGTAGTCATTTCAATTTGCCAAGAGGGCTGACTGCCATCTTGTCATGGCCCTGTCACTACAGGACATCTTGCATGAATTTCCATGGACAAATGTTTGTTGTTCACATTGTGTCCCCAGTTGCTTAAGGTACAATGGCCTGAACTTTGATTTTGGGGCCAAATTCCCTGCAGGCTTATCCCCTGTGTAATTCCAGGGAGGTCAGCAGGGGTGGGGGGGAGGGCGCATAAGTGAGGCGAGAATTTGGTCACAGCTAGACCTCGTAATGATGCCAGTCAACTACATCTATGCCAGTGACGTGGCAGATGTAATGAAAGGGAACGTGATGCTGACAGCGGGAAAGATCTGAAGTGTAGATTGAAGAGCAATTGAGCCACATGACACTAAGATTTTGTTTCAGAGTAGCAGCTGTGTTAGTCTGTATCCGCAAAAAGAAGAGGAGTACTTGTGGCACCTTAGAGACTTTGTTGGTGCACGCAAACCAAGGGGCAGCCCTGAGCTTTCCTGCTGTGTACTCTGGATGTCTCACTGGCAAGAATTACCTCTGTTCCCTTACCTTGTCATGTCCACTGTGGTCACGTTGAATTTGACACCTTTGAGCCACAGAACCATGAAGAGACGCTGGCAGAAGGGACAATTCCCAATGTTCTCGCCATCCAGGCCAGCCTGCAGAAGGAGCAAAATAGACCAATGCTGCTCACTGGGCATCAGATGTCTCCCACAGCTGGGCCTCTGCAAGTGGCTTTGGGCAAGTAGCTGCTAGCACAGCTCCGGGCTTGGTAAACAGGCAGTGGCAGCATAACGGGTGATTCACTGGTTTCATTGGGAGTTAGGCCCAGATCATCAAAGGTGCCTTTCTCTCCATTTTTTTAAAAAAGGAGATTCAATGCAACATTATTGTTGAGATTTCAAATGGACCAGAGATGGGAGATGCTCAGATGGTTCTCATAGCAATTATAATTTAAGTCACATGGCACATTTATAGTCTATCTAGATATAGGCCCAGGCTACACCGTTTGCATATGTGTTTAGGTTTTTTAAGGGATATGTTAGGATTCAGGGGTCCAGTCCATCCCATTAAACAGAGAGACACCTAAGCATGCAATTCAGATCTAGGTTTGTGTCTGTATTTTGGAAATCCCTTCCCAGAAGTCTGGGAGTGGTTAGAGGTTGAGGGTCCATTACAGAGACAAGGCATCAGGCTGTTTGAAATTACATGGGGAAGATGAAGGGGAGAGGTGGGGGAAGCCGAGTGCATAGACAGCCTAGTACCGGGGAAGTGCAGTGGCCACTACAGCACCCATGCCATTCTGAGCTTTGCCAGGGCCATGGATGTAGGCCTAGCATTCTGATCTGGTGACAGTTCACAGCTCATTTGCACAATTGTGAATGATCACACATGAGGCAAAGCAGGAGGTAATTAGCCCCTAGTACACTAACTTTCACACAGGCTTGGGGAGCTAAGTCAGAGGAGTTGTGTAAGGGGGGGAGGTATAAGTTATAGGTGGCAGTGGCCACAGGCTGGATTCACTAGCCCAGAAAGCCTGCATTGAACCCCTCCAGTGCATACAAAAGCAAACATAACATTATCAAGTCACACTTAAGCAACCCCCTGAAAGACTGAATTTAATCTAGCTATTTATACCACCCTTGTCACCATGGTATCTGAGCACCTGAAATGCACCAACACTGATTGTCATCAGAGCAGGTGGGCCATGCCCCTAGTGGGGCTGCTGGGTTCATGAACCAGCACCACTCACGGTGATTCTTTTGTAAGCCAGTGCGATATTGTTTCTGTTTCCTGGTGGGAGCTGGGTCAGAGGGGAAGGCAGTATGAAAGCTCTCTGTGCCCCTTGCTGCCATATTTTTGGAAAGCCTGTCTCTAGAAGCTGGATTGTCAGGGGCTCTTGAGACAGGAAGCGCGAAAGGGAGGGGGAGGCTGGTACACTCAGCACTGGTGGTAGCAGTCAGGGAGGGAGGCACAAAAGGAGGATGGAGTTTGATAATGGATTCAACAGGAAGGGAGGCTCCTCACTGGCAGGAGGAAAAACTCAAGAGGGAGGGTGTGGGAGAAAATGCACTAACATGTTCCAGGAAAACAGTAGTTTGTTTTCTTTTCGCTGTTCACTTGCTGATTTAAAGGGACAAGGCATAAATTCCCAAAGGCTCAGATTTTCCATGAACCAGACAAACAAATCCCTTTTTAAAAACGAAAGTCAGTCTTCAGCCAGTGCAACAAAAATGAAGAACACTGCAAGCCTACTGGGCAAGTCCTGGGGCTACTTTGTCAGACACAGATTACACCCCTCATTCTCTGTAGAAATCCTAATAAACAAATACATCTAGACAGGCTCCTCCAGGAGTCTTGCATGTGTTTGGAAGGCTCTGGGTTGACTCCAGCCCAGGTCAGTATAGGAGAGGCGGGATTGTTCAATACAAGGCTATGATAATTCTCAAACTGTTGGCCCCTTCTCCAAGTGAGGTTCTACTCTGAAAAGTGACTGTAATAACGCCAGCTGGGGGGTTCCACATTTATAAATCCATAAGCTGGGCTCATTCTCGGGCATCAGTCCCAGCACAGCAGGCTCTGCAGGCCGCACTGGGCTCTCAGGGTGACGTTTTCAGAAGTACCTAAGGGTAGATTTTTAAAGGTCGTTAGGCCCCTAACTCGCTGGCATTGGCCAGCTCCAGTGTCTACACAGTAATCTTACCGCCCCGCAGCCCGAGCCCATAAATCAGGTGGCCCAGGCCAGCCGCAGGGGTTTTATTGCAGTGTTGACATACCCTTAGGCACTGGGGGAGTCTCAGTCCCATTGAAAGTCAAGGGCCAGACTTTAGAGGTGCTCAGGTGCCTAAAGATGCAGCTAGGTGCCTAAGAGGTACTTTAAAAATCCCACACAAGTTAGGCACCCAACTCCCATGGGCTTTCAGTGGAAGTGAGGCACCCAGCCTGCTTAGGGCTTTCAGAAATCCCACTAGGTATCTGTCTGCAGCTTTAGGCTCCTGCACCTACATAGCTTGGAAAATCAGGCCCCTGCTCACATAGGCACCTTTGGAAATTTTACCCTGATCCATCAGACTCTTGTAAAGACAACTAGTGCATCAGAATTAAAGCAAGGAAAGTTGAAGGTTTAAATAAACAAAATGGCTATTTAAAAATGTTCCCCCCTTACCTTTACTATGCTGAAAAGAAACTATTCAAATGAATATTCTCCCAAGAGTATTTTCTGATACGATTTCTGATCAAACAGCTGTGTAATCAATAATTTCCATCTCAAGAGTCATATGGAACCGGAATAAGCCACTAATAACTATAAGGCCTCAGCACTGCAAACGCATACATGCCTAATTTTAAGCTCCTGAGCATTTCCACCCAAGTCAATAGGACTATTCAGAGACTGAAAGCCAAGCCCATGTGTTTGCAGGACTGTGCCCTCTTGCTGCTGAAGCAAACACCATTTACAGAATGGGGGGGAGGGGAGGAAATCAGAATAAAAGAATTAAGAGAAATGGAGTAATTTAGGTCCAGATCCTCAAAAGTATTTGGGTGCCTAACTCCTATAGGTTAGACAAACAATGAAATTATGGCAACAAAGGTAGGCCAAATGGGATGAACTGATTAAATATGAACAAATGAATTAATATGATTTTTAAAAATCAATTGGTATATCTACCAGCACTCAGACGTTCTTCTGCCTCACCTCTGCTTCATGCCCTTATCTGCTGTGTTTGTCACCCCCTCTTTTAATGGGTGTGTAAGAAAATAATTTGGACTGCTCACAAAATCCTACTTGTTGATTTTAAAAAAGGTAATAACTAAAATCTTTTCAAACAGTCATATTTACAAATGAGGAAAATCTTCTGGGTGCTGAAAGCTTAGAGAGCTTTATTGCCTTTCTCCGAGGTCTTTACTACTGCAGAGAATTGAAAAAATACCAAACCCGTAAACCTAAGATGGAGACTGGCTACCCTATAGCCACTAATAATGAGAAGCTGAGCTTTTCGGTGCTAGATGGCTGATTTGGATTCAGACTAGGCCACAGACAGCTGGAAGTCATTACCTGCTGATTTATGGAGACCTATTTGCAAGGAGTGAATGGTCTCCTAATTCCACAGCTACAATACAAGTGGTACTGAAAGAATGGTGACAGGTTTCAGAGTGATAGCCGTATTAGTCTGTATCAGCAAAAAGAATGAGGAGTACTTGTGGCACCTTAGAGACTAACAATGTATTTGGGCATAAGCTTTCATGGGCTAAAACCCACTTCATTAGATGCACGGAGTGGAAAATACAGTAGGAAGATATATATATATCTATATATAGATATATAGATATATATATACAGAGAACATGAAAATATGGGGGTTGCCTTACCAACTCTAATGAGACAAATCAAATAAAGTGGGCTATTATCAGCAGGAGGAAAAATCACTTTTGCAGTGGTAATCGGGGTGGCCCATTTCAAACAGTTGACAAGAAGGTGTGAGTAACAGTAGGGGGAAAAATTAGCATGGGGAAATAGTTTTTAGTTTGTATAATGACACATCCACTCCCAGTCTTTATTCAGACCTAATTTGATGGTGTCCAGTTTGCAAATTAATTCCAGTTCTGCAGTTTCTCACTGGAGTCTGTTTTTGAAGTTTTTTGTTGAAGAATTGCCACTTTTAGTTCTGTAATTGAGTGTCCAGGGAGGCTGAAGTGTTCTCCAACTGGTTTTTGAATGTTATAATTCTTGACATCTGATTTGTGTCCATTTATTCTTTTGCATAGAGACTGTCTGGTTTGGCCAATGTACATGGCAGAGGGGCATTGCTGGCACATGATGGCATATATCACGTCATGCTAGTGCAATTTGCAATTTGATAAATGGCCCCTTACAATACACTCCTGAGCTGGAAGGAGCTCTCCCTGCCATTGCAATGGGGGCAGCCATATCACCCAGGCTTGAGAGTTCAGTGACAACTAAGGAACAGCCACTGGGGAGGGAGAGCCACAGACACAGAAAGATTATTGCTTGGGTGACCCAAAGAGAGGACCAATCTTGCCGACTAAGGGGGAATGAAGGGATAGAAATTGATTGGAGCAAAGTGCCAGAGTGAGGGCACAGGGAAGATCTATATTTTTTCTATTCTTTTACAAATTAATCCAAAGCTGAGTAATGTTAGACAGAGCTGAATTCTAACAACAGAATGATGATTGTAGAAAAAAGCCAGTCCAGTGACAGACAGACAGATCCTTAACTCATATAAATTGGTGTAGCTCCACCAACTTCAGTGGCGCTGCACTGATCCATAGCAGCTGAGGATTTGGCTCTTAGTTTAACAGTTCAGGCAGTGGCCAGTCTATCACCAGTTTTGACACAGACTTCCTGTGTGACCTTGGGCAAGTCACTTCAAGTCAGATTTTTAAAGGTATTCAGGCACTAACCCCCTTGGAAATCAAGGGAAATTTGGTGTCTTTAAAATACATCCTTAATGTCTTTGTGCCTCTCTTCCCCATCTATAAAATGGAGATAATCATTCCTTTCTCCCACCCCGTCTGTCTTGTCTTCACCACAAAGTTGACTTGAGTTATAACTCGAGTCCCATCCGGACACAAAACTTTTGACTCTAGTGTGGTGATGCTGTTACTTCCTGTAGATGAGCCCAAAGTGTGGGTATAGGGTAAAGCTCAAGTTAGTACAACTTGTCAACTGCTGGTATGACCACTCTGCAGTGTGAATGCAGGCTAGCGTCACTCGAGTGCTGATAGTTCTCTGATGACCTTCCCACAATTCCCCCTGTGCCCAGAAAGGAGAGGCAAGTTTCCCCACAACCCACTGACAAAGAGATCATAGAGTGGCTCAGCCTACAATAATGCAAAGAACCATCGGATGGCCCCCAGCAGCCGTCATGCCACACATGAGTGAATGCAATGTATGCTGGTGTGAACACAACAGCTGAAGTGTTAGTCCTCCTTGTGGCTGTTCTCACGTACGTGAGGCTAACTCCAGAGGGGTAAATTGAGTATGGCTAACTCAAGTGAACTTCAACGAAGACATGCCCAGGGGCCATGCCAGGGACTGTCTCTTACTATGTGTTTGTACAGTGCCTGGCTCAACAGCGTATGCCTCAGGAATAGAAATAATGATCACAAATAATAGCTTTTACCATCTGAAGATGCATGAGTTACAAGGAAGAAAAATCAAGACCAAGAAGTTCCCAATAGATCTTCAGGAACTGCCACTCTGGAAACATTAGCAAAGGTAGGTAAAAGGGCAGCTGCATCACACCATCCATGTCCTGTGGGTCAATATCTCTGCCAGGAGACTAGACCAGGTGCCAAGCACCCAGTCCTGTAAGGTGCTTGGAACTACGTGTTCGGCACCTTGCGGGAAGCACTCAGCATCTCACAGGATTCTTCTCCCCCACAAAACAGTGTCGGGGTTTAAGGCCAGATTCTCTCCCACCAACACTGGTGTGAATGGGGTGTAATTCTAAAGTTACTCCAGTGTTACTTGGGGAGCAGGATCTGGCTCTTGATCTAGAGAGGTGCTGAGTGCCTACAACTCCCATTGGGATCTGTGGTTGCTCAACACCCCTTTAGATCAGACCCTGTTTCATTAAAGCCTGCCTGCCAAAGATGGTTAAAACACAGAGACTGTTACAGTAGGGGACTGTTAGTTTACCACCGTACTACTTGTTCCAAGGGGGGTTTTTACTGCTAAATTAAGTAAGTTTTAGGGGAAGTACTGACTAACCGTTTGTTTTCTGTTTCTCTTCTCTAATAAAAAGCCCCTTGATTCTGATGCAGTTTTGAAACAATCTTGTGTATCATATTCCTGCCTCTCCCTAAGATAGTTAGGGACTAGCTAGGTAACAGTGATAAAACAGGGAACCACAGAAGCATTGAATTCACCAGCAAAATACCCTGGGACAAGTTTGGTTTTATCAATTGAAGGACAGTAAACAGGAGATGATCTTAATGAAGTATCTATGTTCAGCAGCTTAGCCTAGGCTTTGAGAGGTTAAGGACAGATAATATCTTTTACCTAACCCTGAATAATTTTACTTTGGACAGTCCTGTACATCAACAATGACAGTGGAGTCTGAGTCCCTAGATTTCTAACATAGACCGAGATAGCCTTCTGTTATTTGCTGTGGGAAGGATTCGTTGTAATAGTTGGGGAATAAAACCTCCTGTCTCATTTAAATGACACTTTTAGAACATTAAACATTTCTTTTTAAAAGACTCAGAATCTCAACAATATTTGCAGCCTCAAATCTTGAGCATTTGCTGTTTGCATCAAAATGCCCTAGATAAAGTCACGTGTTGTTCTATTACTGTGATGGTGTAATCAATGGCCAGCCAAGTAACAAGCACAGGGCCGGGGAATTTAAAGTTATGGAAGTTGTTCAGGGTCATGTCTCTCTCTCAGACATTCATTTGGAAATTCAGGATATCTGATTTATTTATTGCTCTCTCCACTTCTGTTAAGAATGTTTTGAAGAGGGGAGTTGAAGTGTTCCAAAGGACATCCATCCCCAAAGCACTTAACTGAGGGGAAAACATTTCTACAGCAAAACAACTGTCAGCTGAATAATTGACACAGACAGAGTAAAAGAGAGGCAGAGCAGTTCAGAGAGTCTGTCTTGCAATCACAACTTGGAGAGAAGCAGAAATTGAATGAATGTGTTTGTATTATTGTCTGTTATCTCTTCTGGACAGGATCACGCCTTATCTGTCTCTGTAAGGCACATGCCATATTTACACTGCTGTACATATGATTTATATCAGCATAACAACAATTAACAACACAACATCACACCAAAAGAACTTGATCCCCGTGATAACTTTATAACCTGACGGTTCCTTTGGCACTATGCAGTAGAATGCATAGATCCCTGCAGAGCCCAGACTCAGAATTCCTCCAGTCTGGGCATGCTTGGCACCCTTTTCTGCCAACCGCTGTGCACACACACATGTAGTCACGGGTCTATTTGACCATATGTACCGCTGACAATTGCAAATGGGACAATGCCCCCCCACTCTGAAATGATAAAGAACTTGCAAAAAAATCTGCAGGTAACTTCATCAAAAGTAACTGGTGAGTTTAGTGGGTCATTGTCCTTCCTGCCTGGGGTGAATCCAGTGTGCAGAATTCATGAGCGTACATGTCTCTGAAACTCACCTTCACGAAAAGCTCAATCTCGGGCTCCTTCCGAGGGCTGTGCCACTGGCTTGCCATCCTCTCTGCTTGTTCAAACTGCTAGCCGCTCTCCACTGCAACAAGTTGCTCTGTTCTCTGCTGCTATTGAACCTCTGAGTGGAAGCAGGTGGCGATCCAGTGGGAGAGCCACTGGTGTACGGTGAAGGACCTCTCTAATGAAGATACACCAAGCCCCGTTGCCAGCTTCACTCACCAATGGGCAGTTCTATCGTGGCTCTTTTCCTTCCTCCTCCTGAGTTCTGAACTGAGGAGGAGTGACAGAGTGTGTGCAGCAGCTGCTGGAGGGGCAAGGGTATTTCCACAAGGGCCTCCCAGTTGTGACTCAGCATCCTAATCTATCGGAGAGCATGCATGAGGTCCCCCTGTCAGCTATCAAGCAGACCAGATGCTGCCCTGAGCTCTCTCTGAGCTGTGGGCTCATGTCCCAGAAAAGATCCTTCCACTTCTGTTACTGTAACCTCCCACCCATGAGATCTTTTATCACAGGAAATGGGCTGGAAGTGTCTTGTGCTTCATCAGTTGGAGAGATCACTTATCTAATTATCCTGTCCAGGAGGCAAAAAGTCCCCAGCTCCAGAGCACATCCTTCCCTACCCCACAACTCTCACTAAGGGAAAGCAAGTGTTGTTGGGAGAGACCTCAGATTCACTGATAAAAGAGGCCTATTTCCCTCTACTAGGCACAACTTTAAAATACATAGTATCTGCCTTAAACATCAACATCTGAGCAGGGCCCACACTGGCAGCTCAGATCTGAATCTCTCTCCGCCCTTTGGGGAAAGCCCCAGAGATCCAGGGAAGGGTCTGAATTTCATACCTCTGGCCTCTCACTTTTGTGGGCTGAGCTAGAACCCCAGATGTGAGCAACCCCCAAATTGGCAGGAGTTTCAATTCTGATCCTGATCTGAAGCTGTGGCTCTGGCTCATCTCCTCTGGATCAAGTTCGCTTTCCATGTGTTATTCCCCCATTTCCTTAGAGAGTTTCATGGATTTGTCATGGATATTTTTGTGTATCATCAAGGGCTGTGTGACAGGGGAGAGGGGATCTGCTTGGTCCATAGTAAACAAGGGAATATCTCCAGGTTTCCCCTGCCCTTGCACAGGTCGCGCAGGAGAGGGAATGCTTGGTGAAATGGAGGGGAAGAATGGTTTGGGGGACTTAGGAGAAGCTGGAGAATTTTACTGTCGGCCTTCCATACTCTGTCCTTTGCTGATTGGGGGCTGCTGGGACAAAGAGTTTGCTTTGGCTCAATGAAAGTCCAACATAAATAGATCAGCTCTTCAGACAAAAACACGGAGATTGAGGATGGCTCCTTCTCTTTGGCCCAGAGACTCCCAGGGGCCAATGGAGGGCGCTGCTGTCCTTGCAGCACAGGAGTGGGGGAAGTGACTGCCCTATGCCTTAGCAGGGAATCTCTCAATCAGACTCAGCGTAAGAGCCTACTACTGGAGATGATGTAGTGTCCCCCCTCTACAGAAGGGATGTGGACAAATTGGAGAGAGTCCAGCAGAAGGCAACGAAAATGATTAGGGGGCTGGGGCACATGATTTATGAGGAGAGGCTGAGTGAAGGGTTCATATAGAGTTTATGCACCTGGAAACATTCAGGACACACTCTAAATGTTGTGTAGGAGCAGTGCATACACTGCTCCGTCCAAAAACATAAACCATAAAAAATCGCCCAAAAAACATAAACCATAAAAAGCTTCCTTAAACTAGGCTCAAAGCCTAAAAACAAAAATTATAATAAATAAAAACTAATAAATAAAAATATTAATAAAAGTCATATTATTTCCTTTATTAATGCCTTTTACGATCAAAATATATAATACACCCCAAAAAAAAAAAAAAAAAAGCTAACAGGCAAAAGCCCGTTAGCAAACCAGCTTGCTTGTTTACTTAAAGCTTTGTCCTATCTTGTCTTTAAACCGCAACAGGCTGAGGGAACTGGGCTTGTTTAGTCTGCAGAAAAGAAGAGTGAGGAGGGATTTAATAGCAGCCTTCAATTACCTGAAGTGGGGTTCCAAAGAGGATGGAGCTAGGCTGTTCTCAATGGTGGCAGATGACAGAACAAGCAATGGTCTCAAATTGCAGTGGGGGAGGACTAGGTTGGATATTAGGACACACTATTTCACTAGGAGGGTGGTGAAGCACTGGAATGGGTTACCTAGGGAGGTGGTGGAATCTCCATCCTTAGAGGTTTTTAAAGCCCGGCTTGACAAAGCCTTGGCTGGAATGATTTAGTTGGGGATTGGTCCTGCTTTGAGCAGGGGGTTGGACTAGATGACCTCCTGAGGTCTCTTCCAATCCTAATATTCTATGATTCTATAAAGTTATTTCATTAGAAAACCAACTTGACCAACTTGCTTTTTCTCCAGAAGGGATGTTGTTACCGGCTGGCTGCCCTTCCCTTCCCCCTCCCCCCCTTCCACCCCCACCTCCCATCCCCACCCTGAGATTCCTGATTAGAGCTAGAGCATCCACTAGGAAAACAAAAGTGAAGCCTCTCCATTACAGCAGGGGGCAATTTATTGGATGAAACTTTTTTTCAATGAAAAATGTGGATTTAGGTTGATCAAACCATGTCGTGAATTCAGGTCAAATTTACCGAATTGTTTCAGTTAAAAAAAAAAGCTTGGAAAGAAGCCAAAACATTTCCATTTGGGCTTTGAACTGACTTGTTTGTTTCAAATTTCACTTCACGCTGACTTTAAAAAAAGTTAAAAAATACCTCCGCTCAAAACCAAGCCATTTCCTCCCACCTTGAAACTAAACTTCATTGACTTTTCCCATGTGGCCACTGAACCAAAAACTCAGTTATTTTCACAGATCTCCTGCCAGCCCTCATACTTCAGGACATAGGCTGAGCCCCAGCAGGGGTCGGAGAATGATGCTTCTGCCTGGAACAGCATTGCACACTTCAGTATTGTAGCAGCAGCACCCACTGTCAGCCACAGTGCACAGTGCTGGTCGATTCTGCTCTGGCTGCATGTATGGGCCAACGGCACAAGCCCCAGCCTTGGAATCAGGGGAGCTGTGCTCTGTAATGATAACTGCTTGCAGTTATGCTATTCAGCAACTAGGGGGGCTATACTGAAAATTTCAGAAAGGCTGTGGTCTGTGGGATTAAGCAAAAATGGAGGCTTCACAGATTCCAAGGCCAGAAGAGACCATGTAGGCTACGTCTACACTAGGAGCTTGGGGTGTGATTTCCCTACTCGTGTACATATACTAACACTAGCTCTCATCGAACTAGTGTGAGTATAAATGGCAGCGCAGCTGCAGCAGTATTGGTAGCAGCAGCAGGGACACGGATTAGTCATGTACCCACCGGTTTCAGGTAGGTTTGTCCTAGGCATGGAAAATCAGTGCCTTTGCTGCTGCTACCATGGCTACACTGCTATTCGTGCTCATGCTAGCTCACTGAGAGCGAGCACGCATGTGTACATGAGGGCGGAATCACACCCTAAGCTCCTAGTGTAGACGTGACCCTGGTCTGACCGCCTGTACTACACAGGCAATATTTCAGAGTAGCAGCCGTGTTAGTCTGTATTCGCAAAAAGAACAGGAGGACTTGTGGCACCTTAGAGACCAACCAATTTATTTGAGCATGAGCTTTCGTGAGCTACAGCTCACTTCATGCATCCGATGAAGTGAGCTGTAGCTCATGAAAGCTTATGCTCAAATAAATTGGTTAGTCTCTAAGGTGCCACAAGTACTCCTTTTCTCTTTACACAGGCAATAGAACTTCCCCCAAATAATTCCTGTTTGAACTAGAGCACATCTTTTAGAAAAGCATCCAGTCTTGATTTAATGATGAAGCTGGAAACTCTGATGGAAAGCGGCTTGTTTGGTTTGCTGCTGTTTCCCCCTAATAAGTACTTGTTGTTTAAGTCAGATGGTGGATTCATCCACTCTGACATTGACACTGAGTGTGATCTTGGGCTAGTCCCTTCGCCTCTCCATGCCTCAGTTTCTCTATCTGTAAGATGGGGGCAAAAATCCCTTTCTAAAGTGCTCTGAGATAATAAGTGCCATGAAAGTGTTAAGTATGCTGAGGATTAGCTCACACGCAGCACACAGCCCCTGCTTCCTATCTTGAATGAGTCACCCCAGAGTCGCAGAGAGAATTCAGAGATTTCTGAAAATGAGCATGCCACTGGTCAGAAAATAGCTATTGTAAGGACAGTTTGGTGACCAAAGTAGTCTGCTGCAGTGGAGCGCGTGGGAAGCATTTCTGCTCAGAGCTCCTGCTGTTATAGCATGGAGCCATAAGACACAGCCACTGGTGTGGAGCATATCATCACCTGCCTGGTGATACCCTGCAGCTCTGAAGTTGTCCTCTGCTGTTCACCTCCTGCCCAAGGACAGGAAGGAAGAGACACTCTTTGAGGTATCTCACCCAGCCACCCACCTCCTGCGGCTGGCCTTGCAATAGCCTAGACGCAGGAGATGCTCTTATTGTATATCAGGAGTATTACTTAAACCAATTGTAATGCTGCCCACTCAGAAAGGGAACCTGTGTGTAGGGCACTGAGTTTGTTTCCTGTAGTGCTGACAGCCTCGGTTATCCCCTGCCTGCAGTGGCGCTGGGGTAGCAATGAACGCAGGTAAAACAGATGCAGGACAGCATCTGTATACTGATGTATGATGGCTGTGGGAGACATGAGTTCCCTGGTGTGTAATTATAACAAGTACACTGACAGGCCCCAAGCAACATTTCACTGGGACCAGGGCAAACTCCTAACACTGGCCCCCATCCCATCCCACACAGACACATTAGTTAATGAAACAAAAAAATACTCTTTGATTTTTGAAATGGCAGAGATAGGCCTCGTTTCTTTACAACTTGCCTTTTCTGGCCTTTTTCATGGCAAAATCACGAACAACTTCACTAAAGTCAAGTTTTCTTTCAAGTTCACACTCAATAGACCAAACGGCAAGGTGACCTAAGCCTTCCTGCGCCTTAGTAGATTGGCTGCAGTTTCTGATGAGTGCTAGCTTGCTGAAACGTCTTTCAGCTTCTGCCACAGTCACTGGCAATGTGCAAAAAATTCAGAGGGCTATGCACACCTCACTGAAAATTAGTTGTTGTTATGTGCTGTCAATCTCATTAAGTAAGATATGTGGTGGCAGCTTAAGTTCTTTTCCAAAAGTAGACTTGAAACCAGTCTTTTCTCTGTTGAAGGAAGTCCTACATTTGAGAAGAAATTCAGGGAAAACTACGGCCGTCAGTATCTTTTGGCATTGACTTTACTAGCTTCTGCATTACTCTGAAATTCGGTGCTCAAGACAGAATAGGCATTTGATGAACAGAATCTGTAATGTATTTAGGTCACAATCCTGGAACTTTTAAAAATCATGAATCACTATGGACTGCGACCCTATTCTCTCCTGTTTCCTGAACACCTTCCTCTGACACTGGTGGTGCTGGTGGCGATATTACTCGGCTATCTTGGGAAGTCATTATCTTGGAATCACATGATTCATCTGGCTGCTTGTCTTCATCACTTTCCACAGTCTCTATATTGAAATCCCTTTCACCTTGCTGGTTCTTTCATCCAGTTCCCCAGTTTGGGCATTGCTTGAGCTAAACTGTTTACAGGTCTTGTTTGTCTTGAAAAACTGGAGGCTTGATTGGAGACCTTTATCTTCTCTTCCCCTCTCTCCCCCCCGCCCCCCCGCTTTCTTTATGCTCCTGATATTCCTGGCTTTTTGATTTGTATTGATAGCCAGACATGGCAGTATGGAACATATATTAATAATACACCAGTGACAAATGCTCTCTAGGCACCCTGGAAGTACTGTTTCCTGTCCCTGGGATCTTGTCTCAGCCCTTCTAGGCACCCTGGAGGACCAGCTCCCTATTCGGAATATTGCTTCTGTTAAGTAGCTCCGGTAAATCTCAGCAGATCTTGCTAGATCTGGATGCCGCATGGATACAAACAGACTCACCGGGATGATATAATTAACATATAAATAACATTTAGTCATTTAGTAACATGTAAACATATTTAGTAACATATAAATAACATTTAGTCAAATGCAATTTAGCCTGAATTTTTTTTCTCATGGAGACAGGCTTGTGGCCCTCTAGCCTGGCCCCTTGTTGGACCAGGCCCTGGTAGAGTACCCATTTTCCCACCTTTACTTGGGCCTGCCCACAGAGGTATAACAAAGAGGGGAGCACAGTACATTTGGGGTGAGCTTGGAATCAGTACACTGAGACACAGCCTGGACAGGAACTCTCATAAACTGACACAGAACCGTGGCAGGGTCTCACAATGCGATGGAGCAATAGGTGTGCTGTGGGCAACAGTACACAGTGATCTAAAGTAGGAGAAAAGGGAAGTGCACTAATTCTGGGCTGTTTATCTGGAACCTGAGTCATGGGAAGGGTGACCACCCATCCTGAATTGTGTGGGACAGCCCCGAAATGCAGACTTCAAGTCGCAGTCCCAGGCTGAATGACTCTGGGACAGCATTTGTCCCGGATTCCCTGTGGCACTGCCCATGCCTGCCTGAGGCACAGGGGTGGCACCAGCCTCTTCACAGTGGGGGCAGGGGCTGAAGTGGGCCTTAGCCCCCCCTTCACCATGAGGCCCCGCTCCTCCTCTTCCCCCTGATGTCTTGCTCCCTGGCCAGGCCAGAAGCCAGAGCCAGGCTGTGGTAAGAGCTGCAACAGATAATGCTGCACAAACACTTCCCATCTGGTATTTGTAATCAGGGTATCCACAAGAGGAAAACCTGATTTTAAGAGTTATGCTTGTCCAATAGGGGAACAGAAACAAAACTACGTGACCAATCAAAACAGCACAGCTACTGAATAGTCCAACAAACTGGTCCAAAGGAGGTGCTGACACAAATTATTTGATAAACAATTTAGAGTCATAAATAAATCTAAGGACATTGCAGTCAGTTCTTGAGCAAGAAAAGGCAATTTTATGTACTATATACTGGGCAATAACATGAGAACGCTCCTGATTTCTGAAACTAACCTGGCTCTTTCTAAAGAGACCTTTTTACAGAGATGCTGCAGCTAGCATGCCAACCATGTGCACACAGACTGACTTCCTTCTCCAAACTCTTCCCTACTGCCCCCGATGCTCTCCTCTCCAAGTTCCTTGCAGGTTGCTGCAAGTGACATTTTCCAGGTAAATTTCTAACAGCCACGTGAGAGCTCTTTAAAGAGTTGTGCCAGTGCCCTTGTCCTTGACACTGTTGTCTTGTCTTTCTGGTGCTGACCTCAGATTCTAAGCAGCTGATTCTCTGGACTTTGGAGGAGGAAATCCTTTGCTTTGGGCTTATCAAAGTTCTGCAGCTGAAGTAACCCTTTCAGACTGCCAGGCATAACAACAATGTGTTGAAGATTTTCCCCCACTTGTGAAAGTGCTGTGTGTCCTGAGTGCCCCCAAAAAGTCAGTTCAATGCCTCAGGCAAATTACTGATTTCTCAGCAGGGGAGGGTGGGGAGAGCAGCTGTGGATGGATAGAGGCAGCTAGAATTGCATACAGAGTGGTAGAAGCTATGGGGCTTTACCGCTGCCAGGGAGAACTAGCCCACTTGCTCTCCCTGAGTGAATTTTCATGCAAGGAATCATTTTATGAGCATTTGTGAGGTTGGTGCAGGGTGCACATTTCCTCTGGAAAATGCCTCTTTGTGTGGCAGGCAGCTGCCTGGCACCATTCCATTAAATGCAAAATGGAGACTAACTGGACATTTGCTGAGATGGAGATTATATATATTTAATATCTTTATTCATGGTTTAAACAGGGAAAATGGCTTTTCGTCTTTCTGAGAAACTAGAGGTGTAAGCTAGAAATCTGGCAAGTACATGAAACCCTGATTTGTGGAGAGACGTTGTTTGCGTTTGGCAACTCTGTGCACCCTGCTCCGTGGCACAATTCCCCACCAGGTCTTGCTGCAGAATTCCAGTGGACCTTTGTTGTGACATATTCCTCCTTTTAAAGTGCGTGTGGTGGTGGTGGTGGGAAAGACATCCTAGCTCTGAGAATGAGACTTTACTGGTTAATGAATGAGTCATTTTCTCATTGAAGGGAGAGAGACGCACACACACACACACACACACACACACACACACACAAAGTTCCTAATAATTCTGGCAATGAAAAGAACCAACCCATTGTTAATGGACAATAGGAGCCTCTGAGCTACAGTACCAGCAACAACGAAAGATGAGATCCCACCCGGACTGGAGTCACGGTGGCTCTGGCACCCAGGCGACAGGGAATCTGGGACAAGCTACATGATGACTGTGTCTCAGCGGTTGCTTGGGGCTCGGGTCTCATGTCTGGGGGCACTGCTGGGCTTCCTTTTCTTCTCAACAGTGCTGAAGGCAGCCCCTGAGTTCTCAGGTGAGTTTGTGAGATGGCACAGTGGAGGGTGAGGGTTGGTTGTAGGGAGGAGAATCTTCTTAAGTCTTAGCCCTGTTATCGCTACCACTTCTTAGCAGACAGTGAATGAGGATGGGGTGGGGTGGAGATGGGTGGACAATTTCCTCTAATTGTACACCCAAGAGATCAGATTCTCAGACCTATCCAGGGAGGGATTCCCACCAGTGCAGATGCAGAGGTAGGGCAGGGTTATATTTGTCAGAGGTGTGGGGGTGGCACAGGCTGTATTTAGTTCTGGTGAGTCAGGGAATGAGTGACACAAACAAACACACCCCGTCTGAGTTCAAGACGGCTGTGATTCACCAGCAAGACTATTCTCCGTCTGACCCAGATCAGACCCCGAAGCAAACAATACCTTCCCTGAGCTCTGGCCATTCTGTGTTTGCTACAAATGGTCTAGGAGAAGGGCCCTGACTGCCACTGCTGCTGCTGGCCAAGTTAGAATGACGAAGTCACAAAGCAGAAAATTAATTCTAGGACGATCCCTTATGTGAGACGAGAATCAATGAGGCTTTAACCCCAGTGACATTTCCTCCCTGCCCCGCGGAGGTTTGGGCATAGTACGAGTGAGCTGTGAGGCACAGAGACAAAGCCGAGCAGCCTTTAGAACCCACATGTCATAGTGTGACGGGGACCTTGAAGAAGGAGTTGGGTCCAATGCACCTGTGACTGGCCAGTTGCCTTCCAGTTGGGCTTAAGGGAAGGCACCTGGGGCTGAGGGGGAGGAAGACATGAAGGGGCAGGGGAGAGCTTCCTCAGAACACAGACAGAAGGAACAGAGACTAGCCCCAGAGAGAGAGAGTTGCAGGAAGCCTGGAGAAGAAGAGTAACTGTGGCTGCTGGGGTGAGTTCTGTGGAAGGCCATGGGGAGGACTGGCTAGAGCTGGAGAAACCTGCCAAGTTGTGGGAAAGTTGCTGCAGAGGCCCCTGAGAATGAGGGGAAGACCCAGTTTGGTCAGTGTGTGCTGGGCACAGGAATAAGAAGATGGTCCTCGAGGGAGGTTCCCCTGAGTGAAGTGGGGCACACAGATGAGGAGCCCTGGGGCAGTGGAGCCTTGAGGGGGGCCCTCTCACAGGAGACCTCACGTGGGGCTACAGGAGAAGGCTGAGCTCCAAATCTTCAAGGAAGAGCAAGGCTTAATGGCTTCAAGGCTCATGGGAGAGCAGCAGGTCTGGGAACTCTCAGGTGGAGGCCTGGAGAGTGAGGCCCTGGGACAGGGGAATGGAACTGGGACCGAGAGGTTAATGACTCAGGTGAGAGATCTGGGAACAGACCTTTGTATAGGATTGAAGAGCTGGTGCATTGTGAGTGCATTTTACTGAGGGGTTTTGTTTTACCATGAAGGATCCACAGACTGTTGCCCTTTCTATGACTAAAAGGGTTTGCATTTGCCACAGAGGGAGAGAATATTCCTTTGTGTGGGTGACACTCTGGGGAAACTCTGGCAGGTACAACATGACCCTGGAGGGCACCCAAGTCGGGGGAGCCCAGTGATGCCATATATATTTAGGACACTCATTTGAGCAGTGTTTTGCTTCTGTGAAATGAACAGGATGAAATGAGGGGTTGGGTAGAGCACAGCCACAAATGGAGTCTCTGGCTGGGACGAGAGAGCTGGAATTTTTCATTGTGCAGGGGTTCAGATGGGCAGTGATTTGGATTCTAATGCCTGGATTTGAACCAGCACCCTTGCACTGCAGGTAGTCTTTGGGGGCTGCTTACACCGGCTTCAAGGTCCTTTCATGGTGCTGGAGTAACAGATAGGGGTTTCTTAGAGCAATTAAATGTCTGGCCCTAGAATTTATGAGCCCAGCTAAATGTACCCCCTCTGGGCTCAATGGTTCCGAGCACCCAAACTCCTGTGACTTCAGTGGAGCTACAGCCATTTATGCAAGTAGAGAAACTGGCCCTACTATGTGACCATTACAGTTTGTGACATTTCTCCAACTAAGCTCAGTCAAACTCCAGCTCAGCCTCTAGAGATTTGTGCCTAGCCAGAAAGAGCAAAATGTTTCCCCCCACCTTTGTCCAAAGACTCCTGGACCAAAAAGTGTTTGAGCGAAACCCAGCTGCTTCCCATTTTGTGGTAAACTGAAACCTGCTGTGTATTTTTGGGTTTCACAGTAAACAGCCCAGGGCTAGTAGGATAATAAACTGAACTGCCTGCCTTTCATTAAACCTAAGCATCTTGTAGAAGCATTAATGCATATCAAGATGTTAATAAGAATAACAGATGGGGCTGCAGTAAGATAAGAGGAAATGGCTTCATCAGGCAGGGTTATGGTAACTTCATAACCACGAGAAGAGGGACTGAGTCACTGGAACCTCAAGGCAGGAACAAGTCCCTGCAAGCCCCATTCCTTAAAACAAATGTATGGACTGAAGTCTGTTTAATTCTAACACTCCTAAAACAATATACCCCAATCCGCCCGCAGCTGTGAAAGCAGAGGCTGGATTCTGGTATTACGCAATATACCATGTACCCACGTTCCACCAGTGCCTTCACCAGCTTTGGCCTTATTTCAGATTTCATTTTAAAATAAAAGTTTTTAGTCCTAATGGTTGTAAAGAAAACTGTTGAACTGTCAGGACAATCATTGCTGGGAGGTGCCAGCTACAAGAGAGAGTGGGAGTTGGGAGCACACTGCAGTATTGAATCATTTTTGAATGCTTGGCATCAGGCACCTAAAATCACGAGACTAAAGAAAAGCCCAATACAATTTATATATATTTGGATTATTAGATGCCTTTTGAGTTTTCAGCTTTTAGGGTGCCCTCAGATCATGTTTTCAAGCTTTTCTCCGTGACCATCAGGGCTAGAAACGTACTTTTAAAAAAAAAAAAAAAAAAGCTGAGAGTTCCATATAGTCACTTGACTCCAGGAATTGGAGCTTTAAGAAACCATCAAACGTCATGAAGCTCATGATAAAATCGTGAGAGTTGGCAACAATTAAGTTGTCATTGTAAGCTCAGTTGGCCATTCAATATACATAGAAGTTTAAAGAACAGGTCAGCACCATGTATGGCAGGCTATCAAGCAATGAAATCTCTCTTGTTTGGGCCACACTTGGAGGTGGTGTGGGCTGCCAAAAGTGTGATTTCCCCCTCTCTCTCACACACACACACACACACACCCTCCTGGACCTGTGAGACCATTTGAACTACAGTTCCCTGTATCCTCCTGTTCTAAGGAATTTAGGAATTCCAGACTGGATTTAAAAAAAATCGTTTGGGACCTGAAAAAGCAGGAAAGCTTGTTTTTCTTTTCCAGATTATGGAATTGGATTTTTTTTTATTTAAATCAGATTTTGTGATACAATACGTTTTGAGAAAAAGACCTATCTAAAGATAGTTTTAATTAAGATACATTATAGCTCAATGATATCTCATAATGGACTAGGGATTATAAATTCTAATTCTATAGTATGAGACAATATATTCATGTAATGTTTATGAAAAGTTTTGTAAATGAGTTCCAATAGTTCATGGATTAGGGACCCAATTTTATGGGGTTCCAGGGGCTTCTGTATAGATTATTTAGGTTAATCTTTCTATCTACCCAATGGGACTCAGTGCTCAGTCTAGAAGATACCATCAGAGATGCTTAGTTTTGCCATTCTCAAACTGTGGATTTTGTGTCTCCAGAGATAACATGCTTGTTAACAGCAAAAATGTTTTTAAATAAATAAATTAATATATAGAGGTGAGAAATAATAGACCTCAACCCTATTGTCCTTCTGCAAATTTGTGTACACAGAGTCAATCCCTTACCTCTCTTTAAAAATGCAAAGTTTCAAAAAGTTCAATGAATAGAAGATTGTTGGGGGCAGAATAGGTCTGGACAAGGAGAAGAAGTCTGGAGATAAATGTGAGAAGGGAGGGACAGGCAGTAGACACAAAAGTGAAACTGTTTGAGCAGCATATTCCAGAAGTCTTGAGGTCTTTCTGAGTGTAGCCTTCATTGATTTGAGCTCTACCATACCATTCTCTCATTAGAAGGGAAAACCTATAATGGCAGCAGGCCGTAAAAGAGACCCAGTTTGGTAATAAGAACCATTCAAGAAATATATGTTTGCTGATGATCTTTTAAAGAAAGACACACCAGTGAACTGGTAGAATCACTTAAGCGCTTGGATTCAGAGACTGTTGAAATGATAATCTCACTTTTAACAGCAGTAGTTTCTTCTGCCGGTGTAGAAAGAATATTTTCTTCCTTTGGACTAATTCATTCCAAACTGAGAAATCATTTGGGACCTGAAAAAGCAGGTTGTTTTTCTTTTCCAGATTATGAACAAACAGGAAAATGAAGGTGAAGACAACTGAGTTAGCTACAGAAGCCAATATGGCTGACATAGTCGATTTAATTTCTTTTTTTTTAATATTTGATTTAAGTATTTTAGTTAAAAACAATTTTAACAAAAACAAACCTGATTTTAAAAAACTTGAATGTTTAACTAAATTCAAAAATTAATATGCTTGTTTTGTTAAAATATTATTTTTGCTGTTGAAGAAAAAAATCCAGAATTCATAACGTTGTTGTTTTAGTTAAATAAAAAATTTAAATGTCTGTCTGATGATGTTCTCCTCCTAATACAGCATGGCAAGAAAATCCTCCAAATATTAATGATTAACCTATTGAACTGGAGATAGTTCACCTCCCAATGACTTCATAAATATCTGCTTCAATTACCTTTGGTAAATGAAATAACCAAGCAATCATTCATTTTCTGATATAGCTGTAAAACTAATCTGAAAAGTTGTCAAAATAAATCACTTAAAAATGTATAGTGTGTACCTTCTAAAAATGAAACCTACATCTATCTCTGAGTTGTGAAGAATATGTATTAAGGTTACAACAACCAACAAGAATGCACTTTTATGTAGAAAACCATGATTAAATCTAGTCTTCCTGACTAGTGATTTAAATCAAATCCACCCTGCTTCAGAGGAAGGTACAAGA